TCCAGCAGCTCTCTGAGAAGGGGCTTGGAGAGAACAGATGCATTACTTCCCCAAGTGCATCTTATTTTTTTATTTTTTATTTTTGTGAGGAAGATTCACTCTGAGCTAACATCATTGCCAATCTTCCTCTTTTTTTTGCTTGAGGAAGATTAGCCCTGAGCTAACCTCTGTGCCAATCTTCCTCTACTTTGCATGTGGGACGCCTCCACAGCATGGCTGACGGGTGGAGTAGGTCTGCACCTGGGATCTGAACCCACAAACCCCAGGCTGCTGAAGCAGAGTGTGTGGAACTTAAACCACTTGGCCATGGGCCACCCCAAGCATGTCTTATTTTTAACGGTTTGCTGATTACACTGATCCCTGTTGTTCATCCCTGTCCCCCACCGTAAATGATGAAGCCCCAGCTGTAGTGGGACCGGCTGTCTGGAGTGCCGAGGGCCGATTCCTCCCCTGCCTGCCTGTCAGTCTCCTCGACTCACAGCTGACACTCAGCCTGGCCCAGTGTCCCCATCCTCCCACCACATCGAGTCTGACTCAGAGATGCCATCCACTCTGAGGCCACGTCAGCTCTGCCTTCCACAAAAGGAGTTGATTGCATCTCTTATTTGTGACAAACTTGAGCGACACACAGATTTTGAATATCCTATTTCGCAGCAATTTTAATCTAGGTTAAATGCAGCCTGTCAAATTCACCTTGGAGGCAGGCGCCCCGGTGGGGGCCAGGGACCAAAGGCAAGGATGGCGCAGCGATTGGCAGGCAGGGGAGAGGTGACATAGGTGACAGGAAAAGGATGCCTGTGTCCCCCATACAGGGCTCCAGAGCCCAGCCCACTCTGCCAGAGCGTGGTGGCCCTGGAGGAGGATGTGTGAAGAGGAGCTCAGGGGAGCGCAGGGCGGCGGTCCCAGAGTAGGTTCCCAGCCATCAGCTTGTTTGGGGAAGACCTAGCAAGACCCCAAGGTGGAGGAGCTGGTCAAGTCACTGGAGGATTCAGGTCTTCAGGGGACCAGGTATCCATGAACACAAGATGGCCTTGGGAACTGAACACGCCCTTGACCTACAGCACCGCCATTTTATGACGTTGCTGGACTGGGGACTCCTCGCTCAAGGCTGTTGGAGCTTCTGTGAAGATAGGAGCCGGGCTGAATTATCACACTCCACAGCGGAGCTGTGGGGCTGAGGTTTAGACAACCAGGGCGCTCTCTTTAAGAAAAAGAATAAAAATGATGGTACAACGTTGCTAGGGCCCCTCTCCGGGGAGGGTGCCAGGCCCTGGGGCCCCTCGGCAGAGCAACGCTGCAGGCCTGGGAGGGCTGAGACGGGAGGCCTGGTCCTCACGGCTCAGCAGGGCGAGCTTTCTTTGTTTTGCTGTTTCAACATGTCACTTTCACCTGGGTTCCAGTGGGCCTCGAGTAGGAAGGTAAACCTTTCAACATCAAAATCGGCTCCAGGTCTGAGCCACTCCCTCACCCTGGGGTCCTCAGGGGCTCTCTGTTTGAACAGACGGTCCCAAGGAGCCTCCAGCTTTAGAGGCCGGGAGACTGTGGCTCCCCTTCAGTGGCAGGCTGTGGGGTCCCAGAGGAGCACCCTCCTCCTTGACTTCCACGCTCAGTCGTGCTGCATTGGCAGTGGGCACAGCTGGTGCCCACAGCGTCCTGGGCCTTGAAGGGGACTTCACCACAGCGACTCAGCCTGGGCTCCATGCAGCCCCAAAACGGCACGTGCAGTTTTCACTCTTAATGTCTTGTTTTTCTGAGAAAATCGGTCATTAGATTTTTCAAAGGGGTCCTTGACCATCCTACGAGGTTCAAAGATTTCTAGGTGAAAAATAAAGAAAAACACTGCTGCATTTTTTTTTTCTCTTAAAAATCAAATTAAGGGGCTGACTTTGTGGCATAGAGGTTAAGTTTGGCATTCTCCACTTCGGCAGCCCAGGTTCCTGGGTTCAGATCCTGGGCACAGACCTACACCACTCGTCAGCCATGCTGTGGCAGTGGCCCACATACAAAGTAGAGGAAGACTGGCACAGATGTTAGCTCAGAGTGAATCTTCCTCACCAAAAAAAAAAAAAAAAAAAAAATCAAATCAAGTTTGGGAAGTTCCAGTTATCCAGAATGACGCGACGAAGGAATTTTCTGGCTACTTGAGCATGGAGGTAACTTAGAAGTTACCACCCACATGGCCCATGGATGCCATTGTATGAAGGTCTGTCATTAAATCTGTGCTGGCTCTTTGCAGGCCGAGTTTGGGATGGGCTGGCCTGTAAGCACTCATGTCCTGTTGCCGTGCATGTGTGAAGGGTGGAACCTGGAGAAACCAGCACAAACACCCTTATCTCTCCACTGACTCAGGCAGGAGGCCCACTGGAAATGGCGTCCTGGGGCACTGGCCTTCTGGCTGTGGGAGGCCCGCCCTGGCCCTCGGAGCGTCTCTGGGCTGCAGGCTGCCTGGGCAGGCTGCATGTTGGCTCTGGGCAAGAAGGAGTGAAGTTGAGGGAGAAACCAGCCCTAGGGGCCTGGCAACAGTGGGTGAGACGTGTGTGCCCCTGAGGGGGCCAGGGCACTCCTCTCCCCACCAGCTTCCCCAGCCCCAGCAAGGGCCCCACCATCCTCCTGCTGGCCTGAGCAGAGTTTTAATCAGGTTTTTCTTTCTTCTAGGTCCCTGTGAGATGAACTGGCTTGAGGGGTTAAGAATTTTGAGGAATGGAAAGGAGAATAAAAGAAGGGGTGGTTTTTCCTCTCAGAATCTAAATATATGTAAACCTTTCAAATAAAAACAGAAAAAGAGAAAAGGAGGCCTGGAGGGAGGACGGCCTTTTCTCTTGACCTGCTTCTCTCCCCGCCCCTGTGCCTCCTGCCCCTCCCTTCCCCTCATGGAAGGGCCACAGTGATGGCCTCCTTCCCACCACATCTGCAGCCAACCCCCCTCCCCCCACCACTGCCCCACCATCCCCTGCTCCACCAGCACCTGTAGGGGAGGAAGACATTTCCTCTACCTCCTCTGGGTCCTTCTGGCTGGACAACAAATTAAATTCACATGAGACAGAACAACAGGAGAAAATGAAACAAAGCTTTATAACATGTATACACGGGAGAGGCTCAGGCAACCTGAGCAACTCATCAAAATGGTGGAGGTCTCACCTTAAATACCACCCTCAGCTAAAGACAAAGGAGGATGCTGGGGGTGGGGGGAGTCAGTTATGGGAGATTACCAGACGAGCACAGTAAACAAGAGTAAGGTTATTATGCAGATTTAAGGCCTTGCCTTTTGCACTGATGAGTTTCTAGAGATAAGGTCATCCCCCCTTCTTCCTGGTACAGAGAGGGAGACACTCTTGCAGATGGAGATTTCCTTTACAAATGTAAATGTCACTTACAAAACATAAGTAAATTCTACTTTTCAGAGTTTCTCTCATGTCTGCAGTTTTTAAAAGTAACCAGCCCAAAATAATCCTCATGCCAAAGAGACGTATCTTGGGGTGGCCAATTCCAGTCCCCCATACCTCCTCCATGACCATCACCTCCTCCACACTCCTCCTTGTGCACCTGGCCTCCTACTTGGTCCTTCTCTAGCTGGAGGCCCGTCCTCAGCCTCTTCTGGCTTCACCCAACCCCTCCAGCCAACTGTGAAGCCATCTATCTAGAAGATGCCCAAACTCATGTCCACCCTGCCTCCCTGGCCCCTGCCAGGCCCCCGGGCAGTTCAAGGCTCTGTGCACCTGACCGTCTTCTGTTACAGTCAGGCCACCCGGCTTCAGCACCCTCCCCCTCCTCGGACAGCCCCTCCCCTCCTTCCACCTCACATTCTGTGTCCGTCCGATGGATGAGTGTCCTGGGGGTCTCCACCAGATCGCCCGGAGGCTCTTACCACACACCTCCCAGGAGCCTTCCACAGATCCTCACTCCCAGCGGGCCCTCAGCATGCCCTCCCTCACCCCTTCCAGGCGCCTCTCCTGGTTCTGGGCCCACCTCCCACCAGCTCCCCCTCCAGAAACCTGTGCACCCTCCACCTCTGCTCCCTCACTCCCAGGTCCTGTAGGCTCTGCCCTCCAGAGAGCTCCCTCCTTCATTCCACGGTCAGTCTATCCTCCCGGGGTTGTCCTCCATCCCCTCCCCTCATCTCCTGCGGCCTCCTTTCCTCTGGCCACCCCAAGGCACGGTCTCTCCTCCACATGCCCTGCTGGTGTGGGGTGACCGTAGACAGCCCTGAGCCTCGCTCAGACACGGACACAGCAGTGATGGGGAGGTTTCCTGTCCCATCTCCCAGCAGGCTGCTCCTGGCTGTCACAGACCCACACAGTGGGTGCACTGACCAGATCCCAAAGGGTGCTGCCGGGTCCGCTGGTGGGCGGTTTGTAATTCTGACAGATTTTGCAGATAGCCCTCGCATGCAGTTGTCCTACATACTTGCTTCCTCCTACAGGAGGGTGTTTAAATACAGCGAATAATAAGTAATCATAAGTAATAATAAGTCCTTCTCAAACAGGTGAAGACCATCGAGCACATGGAAACTGGCAAACTCCGGGTGACTGAGCTGTTTGTGCCACGACTCAGGCTGCTGGACAAGTCCTGCGCCATCGCCCCAGGTGTAAAAGGTGAGACGTTCCCGCCCAGAAACCATAGGCCAGGTTCTCCAGCGTCTGGGGAACGAGTATCATGGGAGGCTTCGGGGAGGAGCCAGGTGCACCTCAGGCGGGGAGAGTGGCAGGGCGGCTTCAGGCTGCGGACGCGCTGCAGCGGGCCTGGAACGATGGCACCCGAAAGACAATGCAGAAAGCTGTGGCCCTGGTTTTGTCCCCCGCTGTTCCAAGGGAAGAGCTCTTAGAGGAGGGGAGCGGAGCAGAAGGAGAGGAGGGGGAGGGGGCGAGACAGGGGAGGGGAGGGGAGGGGAGAGGAGGAGAGAGGAAGGGGAGGATAAGGAGGAGAAGGGGCAAGAGGAGGGCAAGGTGAAGGGGTGGGGGGGAGAGAGGGTGGTGGGGGGGAAGGGAGGGTGCGGGGGAGGAGACGCTTCCTCTTGAACCAGCAGGAGGTGCCCGTGGATGCTCCTGGCTGGGGTCAAGCCAAAGCCCCCGGATTGAGGCTGACGTGCCATGGTCGCCTTCGTACTGGGCGTCGAGGCCGTCGGGAAGTTGCGGAGCCTGCGGGAGCCGTCTGTGCTGCGCGAGTCACTGAGCCCCCACCCACGTGGCTTTGCCTCCATGTGGGCGTGACACCTCCTCTCCCTTTTTCGACCCCCGCTTCGGAATGATGTCTGACTCTTCGGAAGGATGTCGCATCCTCATGGGTTACTGAGGGTTGTTTTGCCCGGCCCGCTGCGCTACAGACGTCCAGGCCGCTTCGGTGTGTCTGCAGGGAACGCTTTCGAAACTGCTACGTGTGAAGGAGAGCGTGCAAAGGGGACCCGTGCGCGGGGGAAGCGCTGGGGGCGCTGCGAGGAGAAGGCGAGCCCTGGAAGGCGCTCGCACACCGCCGGCCTCCCGCCGCGCCGGGCCCAGAATGTTCTGTGGCTCATCCCTCCCAGGGGACGAAACGCCTCCCCGGGGCGCTTCCCGCGAAGCGAGGAGAGGGAGCCCAGGCCCCGCGGCCAGGACGCCCGGAGCTTGACCGAACCAACCTTTCCCGGCTGCGTCTCCGCCGCCGCCTCGCGCGTCCCGGGGCCGCTCTGCTGGGCCCGGCCCGCCGCTCGCCGGAGCCCGAGGTGACCCGGCGCCGCCTCAGCCGCGTGGGGGCGATGCCCGGGGCAGAGAGCCGTGTAGACGCTGCTGGCGGCCGGCTTCTCTCTTCCTGAGCTAATGATGAGCTTTGACTTATGAGCGTTTTTTCTCGTTCAGAGGTAACGTATTGAATTGGCATCTTTGAATTATGTGTCTTCGCACTAAGTTAACAATTCAAGATAGTTTCTAAAATCAACAAAACTCTACGATTTTAGTCTTAGCAGGCAGAAGAACAAAGCCATTCACTCGAGCCTTGCTTGGGCACCTTCTGGATCAGGCCCTGAGGAGCGGGCAGGTGAGCGGGAGCCAGCATGGGAATGCAGGTGCCCTTAAGGTGAGGAGCACTGGGGGCGCACGGAGGGGTGGGGTCAGGGCCATGAGGTGGGCAGCAGTCAGGGAGGGCTTCCTGGAGGAAGTGAGTGGGGCTCAGAGAGTGGTCCCCCAGGTGAGGGGAAGGCCTGCTCTTCAGCACCCATGTGTGAGGGGCCTGTGAGGTGCCTGAGGGAGCCCTGGACCAGCGGAGGTGGCCTGGAGGTTTGGTTTGGTGGTTGAGTGATGGCTGTGAGCCCGTGGTGCTGCCTAAGCAACTGGTGAGCCACCCAGAGTCCCTGCAGTAAAACGGGGCCAAGGAGAGGTGATGGAGAGGCCCCTGTAAGAGCAGCTTTAGAGAGGGGCTGTGGCTCTCCTCCTGCCCTCTAGCCTCCTGCAGGGCCCCCCACCGCCAGGCAAGCCCACCAGGATCAGAGGGTAAGAGATGGGACCCAGGGTACAGGGCAGGCAGACGGTTAGGAGTGGAGCTGGAGAGGTAAAAGGAGGACGCGTGAGCCAGGGGAGGACGATGTCAGCAGAGAACATTCCCCCTGCTGCAGAAGGAGAGCCAGGACTGCAAACATGGGGACAGGAGCCTGTCAGGAGGAGGAGGAGAACCAGCCGCGCTGGGTGACAGAAGGACAGTGGATGGAATGACAAGAAGAGCAGCCTTGAGAGGTGCAGTGTGGTGCTGGCGGTCCCAGAGCTTGGGTCCTTTGCCAGGTCAACATTTGTGGCCTGCAGGGCAGGGTTTGGGAGCAGATGCATGCCCAGGTGTCTGAGAGCTCATGCCCTCCCCTAAGCCAGGGACCCTCCCAGGTGGTGAATCCTGAGGGAGTAGGAACAATTAAAGCTTACAGAGAAATGACAAGTCACCAATAAACCTGTGTATGTCTCCACATCAGAAACCCCAAGATGGAAGACTAGGGAGCAGAGCTGATTCCCAAGCCCAGAGTTTTGGGTGGCCATTGGGTTTTGTGTCCACTTGCTTGGAGCTCAGTGATAGATATCCACCCCAAAAGAGGAAAGGACTGTTCCACATAACTGGGACATCCGAGGAATGCTTCAGGCATAGCTGGATCCAGGCATTCAAATAGTGTTATCAGAACTTTGCTTCCATTTCTTACCATGTACTGGCTTTGTTTTCAGAAAAGGATGGGCCCCAGCAGCTCTGGACCCCCATAATCCCACAGGAGAGAGCAGCCCTCTTTTTCCTGGTGTCTAGCCTGTCCCTAAAAGGCCCTTGGGTTGGCCTGAGGGAAGATCTCGAGCAGGCCAAGGGAAGGGCTCAGTGTCACTGCATTTATCCGACTCCTGAGGAAACAAGGCACGTGGGAATTCCATAAAGTCCAAAGAGCTCTGAGCCCTTTGTCCGTAGGACTGTTTTCATGCCACTGTCTCTAGGTGTGTCTCACAGGGCACATCCCGCTGACCTGAGTTGCTCGTCATATCCACCCTCTGCAGTTCCCCGCTGTGTTCAGCAGGGCACTTGGGGCTTGGGTGGGGACCAGAGGGATATGTGTCGTGTCCTCCTGTCCCTCTTCAGGCTGTCAAGTTTCACCTGTACTTTCCCTTCCCATTGATCCAAGTTGTAAACTAAGAAACAATCATTCAGAAAAGACACTTGAACTTATTAAATCAATGGCTGTTTCCCCATGGGCTGCCCGGTGAGTGGGGATCCCGTGTGGCTCCGCTGTGAAGTCAGATGGGCTTTGTGACATCTCCCTGCCAACTCAAGCTTCTTTTCTTTTGCTTTTGCTTTGTGTCTAAGAGGTTGGGGTGAAAATCATTCCACAGATAAAGAAATCTACAAGCCCAGCTGTGGTGTGAGAAAAAAACGTATAAGCTGTCTCTTGCAGAAGGAAAAGATGGAATCAGAAATAGGAGATTTTCCTTTGAGGGTGAAAGTCAGCTTTAACCAGTAAATTGGTGTGCTAGCTAGATGTGTTAAACAAAGAAAGGAGTTGTTTTTAATTGCAAAGAAATGCATTTTTTTTCCCTCTCAACACTAAACTTAGTGGTTTTTGACTTTATGTTACCCGAGGAGAAGGAAAAAGCCCTGCTTGTTCCTAAAAATGGTGAGTTCCTGTATCTCAGCTTTCTACGAGACAGGGTGCAGATGGCGAGTCCCAGCCGCCAAGGCCAGGCTGTCGGGGAGCCTTTTCCCCAAGAAGGGAAGGATTCCTGGAAGCCTGGAACCGAGTGCTGGTGAGCCGCAGGCTTGCTTCAGAGAGAATTTCCGGGGGCCACTTGAGAGCGACAGCCGTGGCTGAGGGAAAGCCTGCTTCTTGGGTGGCTGGGAGCCCGGTTGGGCCCTCCACAGGGACCGGGGATGCCGCAAGTGAAACAGCACATAAACCTTGACCAGCTTAAACTAGTTTTGCTTCCTTAAAACAGGTTATTTTAATCAAACCATGCTCAATAACAGACGGCACTGCACATGTGCCAGGCGGGAACCTATAGCCCCAGGTGACCCCGGAACCAAGAATTTTCCTCCAGTCAGGAAAATCTGGCTTCCAGCAGCCCAGATAGCTTGATTATCATATAGAGACTGACCTGAGACTAGCCAGTCAGCTTACCTGGGTCCAGCTATAGCTTAGTTTCCCCTAACTCCTGAAATTTCCCCCTGAACCTTGGACTGGGGGTCAGATTCGAGAGCCTTGCTGTCTCCTTGCTGGTCAACCTCGCAATTAAGCTTTTTCTTTTCTCAAAAGCCAGTGTCATAGTATTGGCTTCTATGCGTATTGGGTAGTGAGCCCTTGCTGGGTAACACGTGGTTCCAGACTGCTACCCCGCCCAAGGTCTAGCCCTGGGAAGCTGCCAGGGGGACCAGAGCCAGGCAGCTCCCTCACCTTTTCACCCAAGTGAGGATACCACGAAAAGACGGCCATCTATGGACCAAAAAGTGGTACCTCATCAGAACCCAACCCTGCCAGTGCCCTGATCTCAGACTTCCAGCCTCCAGAACTGTGAGAAATAAATGTCTGTCGTTTACAAGCCTCCCGGTCTACGTTAATTTGTTGTAACAGCTCAGCTGACTAAGAGAGCCAGGGTTACTCCTTTCTCTTCTATTTTTATCCTTTTTTCCAATTATAAAAGTTAGCCACCCTTGTTAGAAAAAAGTGTAAACTTTACAGACATTTATGAAGAGCCCCCATACAATGCCTCCTCTCCAGTTCCGGAGATAACCTTCGTTAACAGGTGAAACTTCCTCAGCAAGTTCTCTATGCTCATACAAAGGCATCGCAAACAGATAAGTCCATTTGAAAATCCGGACTTGAGGATGATAAATTCAATGCTATGTGTTTTTTACCACAAGAAAAAAACAATTGTATCAGTCATAAGGAAATAAAGATACTATATTTTCTTGCCAACAAGACAGCAATAACAACAATAGCAAAGAATGGAGCTGTTTTATGATAACACTCGCTGAAGGCTTGCCACGTGCTTTCTGTGGATTTACTCATTTTAACATCACAGTGATCCTATTGACCCTGTCTTAGTCAGCTAGAGCTGCCACAGCAAAATACCACAGGCTGGGGGCCGAAACCACAGACGTTTACTCTCTCCCAGTTCTGGAGGCTGGAAGTCCAAGGTCAAGGTGGCAGCAGGGTTGGATTCTGGTGAGAGCTCCCTTTCAGTTTCCGATGGTCACCTTCTCCCTGTGTGCTCACGGCACCTCTTCTTTGCGTGAGCACAGCAGGGGGTTGGAGGGGAGAGAGAATGAGAGAGCCAGAGAGGAGAGCACAAGCCCTCCTTTGTCTCTTCCCAAAGGGTGCTAATCCCATCCTGGGGCCCCACCCTCATGACCTCATCTGACTGTAATCACCTCCCAAAGGCCCACCTCCTAATACCATGCCGTTGGGGGTATATGAATGTGGGGAGGATATAATCCAGTCCATAGCAGGCTTGCTGCTATCACTCTTCCATCTTAGAGATGAGGAAGTGGAGGCACAGAGAGGCAAAGCCACCGGTTCAAGGTCCCAGAGTGCACAGTGGACTCAGCTCATGGCTGGGACCCGGCCCCAGAGCCAGCTCGGAGCCTTGGCCCTGCACTACCTACCGCACATTTCTCTTTCTCCACTTAACGGTCAGGTCTTGAAGGACCTCCTGTCACCACGACTCACCTGCACTGTTCTCTTGACCGTGTATCACAGCCAGGCTGGGTTCTCAGCAGTTTGTCCCTTGTGTCCGTATTCACAGAGAGTGGATCATTTCTAGTTTTCCCCCGTTACACAGAGCACTGCAGCCAACATCCTTGTACACCTGAGTTTGCACACTTGTGTGTTCTTCTGTGAGACAAATTTTAGCAGCAGAATTGCTGAGTCAAAAGGATTCAAAAGTTTTAATTTCACATTTTTTTGCTCACGTCCTCTGAGAGGGCAGAACTGCTTTACTCCCATGTGAGAACGTGTTTTCCTGACGCCTGGCCCAGCTCCAAGCATTGTCCCTCTTTTTAGTCTTTGCCAGTCTGATGAGACCAAAGAGGGGACCGACCCCTTGGGGTTTGCCTTGGCCTTTCTTTTGTGGTTGGACGTTGAGTGTGTCTTCAGGCTTCCTGGCCATTGTACTTCCGGGAACTGCCAGTTACTGAGCTCTGCTCTTGGATTTGTCATCTTTTTAAAACTGATCTGCAAGAGGTCTTTGTGTGTATATATATATATATATTTTTTTTTATTTTGTTTTTTTTGAGGAAGATCAGCCCTGAGCTAACATCCACTGCCAATCCTCCTCTTTTTGCTGAGGAAGACTGGCCCTGAGCTAACATCTGTGCCCATCTTCCTCTACTTTATATGTGGGACGCCTACCACAGCATGGCATGCCAAGCAGTGCCGTTTCTGCACCCGGGATCCGAACTGGCGAACCCAGGGCCGCCAAAGCGGAATGTGTGAACTTAACTGCTGCGCCACCAGGCCAGCGCCAAGGTCTTTGTATAGTAAGAGAAGTACTTTTACTATAATGTGGTGCAAATATTTTTCTTCTGCAGTGATAGAAATGCTTTGTAATCTGTACTGTTCAATGTGGTAGCTACTGACCAGGTGTGACTACAAAACATTTGAATTGTGGTTACAGTAAATGATGCGCTGAATTTTTCATTGTATTTAATTTGAATATAAATAGCCACATGTGAATAATAGGTAGAAAAAACATGTTCCGTTTAACTTTTGATTTGCTGTCCATAGTATTTCTTATCCTTTTAAAGTCAGCTTATGAGGCATACTTTACATATATTTATTTTTATGTTGACTTTTTTTTTCTTCATGGCTTTTGAATTTTGTGGCATGTTTAGAAATGCCTTTCTTGTCTCAAAATTATTAAAATATTTACCCATCTTCCCCTCTAGTACTTAGATGGTTTCGTTTTTCAGATTTACATTTTTGTTTCATCTGGAATTTATTTTGGTCAAATTGCAGTGGGGCACAGGTCCCCCTGCCAAGAGGCTGGCCAGCTGTCCTGATGTCATTGTTTAAAGAGTCCATGTTTCCTCTGCCAATCTGAAATGCCACCTTTATCATGATGTCTGCAACTTAATCTCAAATGATAGAGCAATAAACATATTTATTATATATATGTGTGTGTGTATGGAGAGAGAAAGCAAACGTGGAGAAAAGTTAGCGTGGCAATTGTTGAATCAGGATAGTATACAGATCATTAAACTATTCTGACTTTCCTGTAGGCCTGCAAATTTTCATAATAAAATTGTTAAAAAGAATCCAAAAGAAATTTGAGAAGGGAGATGAAGTCCCTACTTTGAAAATGAATGGCTGAACAAGAGTTACGTTCTTGTCGATCAGCCAGGGGGTGGCCAGGAGGGAGCTGAGACCAGATGAATTCGGGGCCTGTGGTCGCCGAGTGGGCGGGACTCGGACAATGACATGGACAGTGCAGAAGGTTGAAGCCCGTCAGGCGGGGGTTGCAAGGTAGATGGATGCTCTGGCTCCAGTGTGGGGTGTAGACTGGAGGGGACAGGATGCTGTCCCGCTTGCCAGAAGAGGAGGGCCTTGGCGTGGGGAGAAAGGTGTGATCCGGGGAGGTGGGGCTGGTGGCAAGGTGCCCAGCCGGACCCCAGCTCGAATGACGGGAGCCATTAACCAGAGAAGCAGCACAGCGAGAGCCCAGTTTGAACCTTTTGGAACTACTGAGGGGCTGGCAGTGCAGTGGGCTGCGGGGGCCTCGCCTGCGGCAAGTTGGAGCGGGTGGGACAGAGCTGCAGCTTTAGGGTTGGTGGTGGTTGTGAGCCGGGGAGGGTGAGACCGCGAGGGAGTGGACCTTGTGGACACGGCTCACTGTCCCCTCCGAGAGCAGAGCCACTCTCCCATCAGGCCACGCAGGGCCCCTGCACACGGTCAGCAGTGTGAGTTGAACCAAATTCCTTTGCCCTGAGTAGCATGGATGTTTCTCTCCTCAGGAAGCCTAAGATGAGGACAAGGCAGAAGGAGGAAGAGAAGTGAAAAGGAGGAGGCGAGGAAGAAGAGCGAGAAGGAGGAGGAGGAGAGCAGCGCCCTCGGATCCCAGGCTCAGAGGCCCCGCCTGGCCGGTTCCCTTCCTGGCGGCATTGGTGACACCTTTGTCCTTCTGGTGCATTTCAAACTTCTGAGGCAGCTCCAGAATTGTTGGGTAGGTAGCAAGTTTGGGGTTTTTATCCTTTTCCTCCTAATTGCAAGGCCTGTGAGAACAGTTAGCAGTTGCCATCTGCACAGTATTCATTATCCTGCTGCAGCGGGGGAAAATGAGTAATTTTAGCACAAAATGTAGAACTGCCCTGAAATTCAAATTGCAGTAAGTTGACAAGAGTTATGATGTTTGTGGAAAAGCTCATCTAGGAGGCTAAAGGGACCATGCGGGGAGCAGCAGCCTCACCACCGAGAAAAATGGCTGCAGTCAGAGGCGGGCGAGGCCTGGGGCGGGCCACTGCCCACTCTGCCCAGAGTGCCAGGGCCGAGGCTGCTTGGCAATTTTCCCTTCACCCTCTTGCTCTTGACCATAAAACAAGGCGGAGGAAGCAGGAGGCTGGGGAGCACCTCCGCAAATAAAGGAGTGAGCATTCCAGAGAGCATAGCTGACGAGGCAGAATTCTTGCCAAGTGAGTTGACTCTGCATTGAAGGGGAGGTTTCTCCTGCCTTCTGGAAACAGGATATTTTCTTAAAGGGGTCACCAAGATCACCCCTGATCAGTCCACAAACAATGTACCTGGGCCTTCAGCCCGTGGCCTACTCCCAGGCCCAGAGGAACGAATGTCCCGGCAGCAGGAGGAAAGGAACATGTCTACAGATACCAGTTGTTCAAATAATAGCAAAGATGGAAATGCAGCTGCCAATGTACAAACTGACAACTACCCTAAACACTCTTTTTGGCTCTAGTAACTTGTAAGTCCTTCCTTGCCCTCAAGAATAAAACCATTTAGGTTCTGCATTCTTTGTGCAGAGGCTGGGCACGTGCAGGTCTTTTACGCTGTCTTCCTCATCAAGTGGCGGAGGGCCCACACCCTTCCGTCCACCACAGCTGGGAGAACTAGCTCCTCTCAGGGTCTGTGGCCCTGGTGAGGCCTCAGTTTAACAGGCGATCACGTTCACAAAGGCTGGTGGCCTGGTGTGACCTTTCCCCAAATACTGCTGTGGAGCTGGAATGTGCTTGAGTGCCCCTGTGTGTACTCATGCTCCGGACGCTTCCTTATCTCCATGGCCCTGTACAATCTGCCTGTGCTGCGCTTTGCAGGGCAGGAGGCCACACGCACTGGAGTTCTTTCCTTCTGCAGCTCGGCTGGGTGACCCGCTGGCACCCATCTGACAGTTCCCCAGATTATAGTTTCAGTGTGGCCAAAGGTCACCAGGAAACACGAGCTGACATTCTGACCTGCCCTTGAATGAGAAGGAGCTCTGGGAACCGGAACCGGAGGACGTGTTTTACTGGGAGGGGCTCCGACTACGGTGTGTTGCCCTTTGTTGACTGGCGCTGCCGCCCCCTTGCTGGCTGGTCCTCAGCGGTGCCCCAAGGCATTCCCCAGCGGCGGGGCACAGGGAGATTCCAGTGTGCGGAAGTCAGTATCCTGTCAGGACGGACTCACTGCTGCGCTGAGCAGCCCCGGGAAGCTTGACACTCACTGCTGCTCGTCCCTGGAGGGGGTTGTGTGTCATCCGGAGGACAGTGTGCGGGCTTTTTCTGGGCTGGGCCTGGAATGTGGCACATCCAGGGATGGTGAGGGTCACTGAGAGCAAGAGAGGGGAGGAGAGTGTCTGGCTGAGTGCCAGGACCAAGAGGGGACGCCAGGACACTGGGAGAAAGGCAGCCTGTGCCATGCACACAGTATCGCTGCAAACTGATAACCACTGGGTAATTTCTTTGAAGGTAAAAAATAAGTGGAAGAACCAGAACCTTCTGTAACAATCATCCACACTTAGTGATGCTAGCATGGTCCCTGGGATCCGAGTGTCTCTCCAGTCCTTGGACAAAATTCACTTTGATTGCTTCCTCCAAGTTCCAATCCAGATGTTTTAGAAGAAATCGGTGCGTAAGAGGAGTGCACTAAAAAAATGAGCAGCTGTGTCTAGGTGGTGGTTCCCACAGGCGAGTGGGTGACTCAGTTTCTGGCAGTTTTCAAGACAATGCCCACATCCCTTCATCAACCCTGCCCGCCCCAGGGCAGTGCAATAGCCTTGAACTTCTGGTCTGGCTTCTTGCAAGAGGCTGTTATAAACCCTCTTTGAGGGGCGCTGTCTGCCTGTTTCCTGGGCTGGAGGCCGGCCTGTGAGGGAGGAGTTCAGTCCTGCCCTGTTGGTTTCCATTGGCTCTGACTCAGTTTTGTCCCCACAGGGTCTGCACACACACCAGGGGAGAAAGGCCCAGCATGATCCTGACTGCTGCAAAGGGGGCAAATGGCACCTTTAGGAAGGAAATGGTTCCCCTAATAAAAAAGCTACCAACACCAGGAGGGCAGATGCTTAACAGCACCTCCTAAGACAAGCCCTATTCTAGACACTTTACACACCTTAACTCGTCCATACCTCACAACCCCTTCTTGAGCAGACGGTACTCTTATCATCATCTCCGCCGCTGTGCAGATGGGGAAACTGACGCAAGGAGTGATTGTCCGTGAGCATGCAGTGGAGGAAAGGAGGGTGGAGGTGGGGTGTGAACCCACGGGTCTAGCCACTGTGCTGCCCTGCTCTGCTTTCCTTTGAGGTGCGGGGTCTGCACCTGCTAGAACTCTCCATCTCTGGGACGGGCACAGGCCCTGTCCTGAGACGTGTCTATGGGACACTTCCTGGTCCTAAGGGAGCCCAGGGCCCCTGTGAGGGGTCAGGGACTGGGTTCTGCCATGACAGCCCAGCTGTGCTGCCAGGCCCTTTCTTTCCAGCTGGTGGGAGTGTGGGCACAGGCTGTCCACCAGCCAGCAGAGCCCCCTCCTCATGTGCACCCGTGAGTGGGGGAGGGAGGAGCCCAGGGGCACTCATGGGCTCCAGGCCTCTTATTCATATACAGTGACTCTGTCCTTGCATCCATTGGGGGACTCAGTGACCAGGCCAGTTCTGCCCATTTCTCCCTAATGGCCTCCCAGAGTATGCTTGGGGAAACTGGAGCTGGTGAGGGCCCAGGACTCACCATCACCTACGGCAAGGGCCAGAGCGGGCAGTGCCTTGAGGACAGTCCATGCCCTTCGGGGCTCTTGGCCCCAACCTGTGGCCACAGAGACAGAGACCCTGGACAGACACACATCCTCTCCGTGCTTCCACTCGGCAGACATTCACGAAGTTCTGCTCCTGCCGAGAGGGCCCCTCCTGCTGGCAGGGGATGGGGTGGGGTCCTGGCCATGGCCAGCAGCCTACCCAGCAATACCTGGGGCTTGCTCTGGGCCAGGAAATCATGGTTCAAGTCTTGTCCTGCCTCAGTTTCTTCTAAGGAATTCTGCCCTCTATGGAGCACATGTGTAGCAGTGCTTCTGGGCTTTTGGAGCCGGTCTTAATTGGCATCTTGAGAAGAGCACTGGTCTAGAGTTGGGGAATCCTGGTCTCTGGCCTGGCTGTGCCCCAGCTCCATGTGTGACAACCATTGCGACTCTGTGCCTCAGTTTCTCCTCTTTAAACAGAACCTGAGACTGGATTGGACTCTCAAGTTGGCGCCACACGGACTGGACCCAGCAGGAAGCTGCCTTTTTGAAGGGAGTCAGGGGAAGGCGCTTCCCCAGGGCGCCCAGCCCCACCACTTCCAGTGGTTTGCTGCCAAATGGGGCTGACCCAAGGACAACCACCAGGAAGCAGACTTAAAAATAAAGGCAAGAATAACAACAATAATTTAAAAAACCCAGCAGAGACATCAGTGGCTGCACAGTGTAGTTGAGGCAAATTCTATAGGATTTGTTCAGTGAAGTCACTAAAAAAACCCAACAGCAACAAGCCCTTGGGGGTAAGGAGATGGATGAGAATACAGAGTTGCTACAATATTACCTAAAGTGTCCAGTTTGACATGCAAAGAAACAGGAAAGTTTGACTCATATCCAGGGGACGAAAAAGAGTCAACAGACACTGTTTGAGGGGGTCCAGATGCTGGATTTAGCAGACTTCAAAGCAGCTATTATAAATATGTTCAAAGACCTAAAGGAAGCTGTGGTCAGGGAATTAAAGGAGAGTATGACACAATGACTCATCAAATACGGACTATCTCAATAAAGAGAGAAAAATTATATTAAAAAAAGGAACCAAATGAAAATTCTGGAGTGGAAAAGTATAATAACTGAAATGAAAATTTACTAAAGTGGCTCAACAGCAGATTTAAACTGACAAGAAAAAGCTAGTGAACTTGAAAGTAGATTAATAAAAAATTGTCCAATCTGAAGAACAGAAAGAAAAGAAGATGGAAAATAAACTCTGAGATGTGTCTGGGGCTCAACAAGAATACCAACATGTGTTTTGGGAGTCCCAGATGGAGAGGAGAGAGAGAAAGGGGAAGACGAAATGGCCAAAAACTTTCCAAATTTGATGAAAACACATCAAAGCAGCACAACACATTCCAAGTTGGAAAAATACAAAGAGATGCATACCTAGAGACATTACAGTCGAACAGCTGAAAGACAAAAGGAAATTCTGAATGCAGCAGGAAGAAAAAACGAAACACTGTATTACTTACAAGGGAGGAATTCTGTTTAACAGCTGACTTGTCATCAGCAGCAATGGAGCCAAAGAGGCAGCAGAATGACATATTCAAAATGCTGAAAAAAAAATCTGTCAACCAAGAATTCTATAGGTAGAAACACTGTCCTTCAAAAATGAAGACAAAAATAAAGGCATTTTGAGATAAAGATTGAGGAAATTCACTGCAAGCAAACCTGCCTTATGAAATACATTAAAGGAAGTCTTTGGGGCTGAACATAAGTGACATGAGAAGATGACTTAAATCCACATCGAGAAATAAAGAGCATTGAAAGAAGTAATTACATGGGTAAACATGAAAGACTGGCAACATTTTTCTCTTACCTAACTTAAAAGACAGTTGTGGGTCTGGCCCCATGGCTGAGTGGTTAAGTTTGCCTGCTCCACTTCGGCAGCCCGGGGTTTTGCCGGTTTAGATCCTGGGCGTGGACCTAGCATCACTCATCAAGCCATGCTGAGGCGTTGTCCCACATAGCAGAGCCAGAAGGGCCTACAATTAGAATGTACAGCTGTGTACTGGGGGGCTTTGGGGAGAAGAAGAAGAAGAAAAAAAAGATGGGCAGCAGATGTTAGCTCAGATGCCAATCTTAAAAAACAAAGACAGACAATTGCTTAAAACAACATTTCTAAAACTATTTTGGTTTATAACATATAAAGATGTAATACGTATGACACTAACACAGAGGGTAAGGAAATGAAGCTCCACTGCAGTGAAGTTTCTATATTTTGCTGGATTTAATAAGTATTAATCTGAAGTAGACTGTAATAAGTGAAGATTCCTATTATAATCCTTAGAGCCGGCCCTGATGGTCTGGTGATTAAAGTTGTGTGCTCTCCACTTTGGCAGCCTGGGTGCATTTCCCAGTCGTGGGACCACACCACCCCGTCTGTCAGTTGTGATGCTGTGGTGGCAGCTCACATAGAAGAACTAGATGGACTTACAACCAGGATCATGCACTCAGGCTTTGGGGAGAAGGAGAAGAAAAAGAGGCAGACTGGCAACAGATGTCAGCTCGGGGTGAATCCTTTCCTGCAAAAAAGAAAAAAAAATCCTTAGAGCAACCAAGAAGAAAATAACAAAAAAAGTACAGTAAAAACAAAACAAAAAACGAAGAAATTAAGAGAGTATACTAGAAAATATCTATTTAACATGAAAGAGGGCAATAAAAGAAAAAGAACAAAAAAGCCCAGGACATAAAGTAGAGAAATGGCAAGCATAAATCAAACCTTATCGATGTTAGGTTAAATGTAAATGGATTAAGCACTTCAGTCAAAAGGCAGAGATTAACAGACTAGATAATCAGATCCAGGTCTATGCTTTCTAGGGGAAATACACTTTGGATTGAAAGACGCAAATAGACTGAAAGTAAAAGGATGGAAAAAGTGACTAGAAGAGAGCTGGAGTGGTTATACTATCAGTCAAAATAGATTATAAGACCAAAAACTATTGCTAGAGACAAAGCGGGACATTTCATAATGGTTTTAAGAAAGAAATAATTATAAACGTATATGTTCCTACTAACTGAGCTCCAAAATACATGAAAAAGCTGACAGAATTAAAGAGAAAAAGATTATTCAATCATGATAGTTGGAGACTTCAATACTCCACTAATTCAGAAAACAACTAGACAGAAAATAAGCAAGGATACAGAAGACCAGAACATTAGCATCAACCAACTTGACATATCTGACATCTATAGAATACCTCTCCCTAACAATAGAACACATTGTCTTCGAAAGTACACGGAGCGTTCTCCAGATAGACCTTAAGCTAGGCCATAAAACAAGACTCAAAAAAGTTAAGGAAATTTAAATCACACAGAATATATTCTCTGATCAGAATGCAATTAAATTAGAAATCAATAAAAGAAAGCAATTTGGGAATGCCTCAAGTATCTGGAAATTAAAGAATGCATTTCTGAATTACTCCTGGGCTAAGAAATCAAAAGAAAAATTATAAAATATTTTGAACTGAATAAAACACAACAAATCCAAATTTATGGAACACAGCTAAAGCTGTGTCTAGAGGGAATTTATAGCTCTAAAATGCATATATTAAAAAAAATTTCAAATCAGTGAACCTTCAAAAACTAGAAAAGAGAAAACTGAACACAAACAAGGCAGAAGGAAGGAAATAATAAAAACCAGGGCAGGAATCTGCTCAGGAAAAAACAGAAAGCTGATAGACAAAATCAGTGAAACCAGTCAATTCTTTAAAAAATTTTCTGAGGTTGCTAAGTGTATCGTGGTTACGTAAGAGAATACTTTGTTCTTAGGAAACACGTATCATGTCTGCAACCCACTCTCAAATGATTAAAAAGTAATAATCTGTTATGGGTTGAATGTTTGTGTCCTCCCCAAAATTCCTGTGTTGAACACTTACCCCTAGCGTAGCTGTATTTGGACATGGGGCTTCTAAGGGAAGTAATTAAGGTTGGAGTCCTAAGGATGGGGCCCTGAATCAAAAGGTATTATTCTTGCAAATGCTGTGTTACTCTTGCAACTTTTAAGTGTGAAAATATGTTAAAAAACCAAAAAATAAGCCCCTCCTGCGAGGGTGGTGGGCACGAAGTTGCTGCGCTCTAACCGTGCTCTGGGAGAGGGTTCTTGGTTGAACGACGGCCCTCCCTGCACCCCGCTCTTCCTTGGAGAGCCATCCGCAGTGGTGGACAGACTCATGCTCTGCTCTCTCCCAGTACTCGCCCCAAGTCTCCTGGTCGTCTGCTCCTGAGAGGGCCACAAAGCTGTTTCAGCTGGACGAGTATCTGTGAGGCTTCCTTGGAAAATACGGTGTCTGTCCCATCACAAATGTGGCATGGAACAGGTGCTAAAATTGGGGGCAGGTCCCTGAGGCTCGATGGAACACTTCAACTATGTTTGCTTGAATATTCAAAAATGCAGGAGTAAAAAGCTTTCCCCTAGGGGCAGCACCATAAAGGCAGAGGTGGCAGGGAGTGAGCTCCATGGGACACTGGCCCCTACTCAAGATGCCTCCATCCTCCTCTCTGGATCTATCAACATGAACCCAATGAAGCCCTGGGACTGTTGCATTACGCTGTTGTGTTTAAGAAGTTAACAATCTACTAAGAAAGTCAGTTCCGCTTTCAATCACTTGGTTTTAAGTGTTTCTGAAACCCTACAGCTCCCCACTCATGACTGCAACTTCTACCGGGCGGGTAGCAAGACTGGGGCTCCTTAGTAGTTCTCAAGCTTTGCCTTCCACTTGCTCTTCCCCTTCCGCTTCTAGTTGTCCTCATACAACACGCAAGGAATTCGAGATTCTTAGAGATGCTCTGGGAAACTCCATGTCCTGAAAGTCCCCTCTAAGCAGCCCTGAAACTAAGATATTTCACCTAAAGGACCCCACTGTCCTCTGATTTGATGCCGGTTTCTGCCACACACCAGTTGTCAAGCACTGAAGGGCTCTTAAGCATGAATACTGTGCTTTTCTCCCCAATGTTACACAACATTAGCTTATTGGTCACGTCTGTTTTCGTGGTTTCCTTCCATCTCAGTTTCTAAGGGGTAAAAAAAGATTTATGCCTGTATGTTTTCAAATCCACTTAAGACTAGGAGGACATCTGCGGACAAACAGCATTTTCACTGCTTCAAAAAGAAAAAATCCGTGACATCAGGCCTAGAACAAATACACCAAAGCCAAAACCCCCACACCCGACTCTGGGCGAGCTTTCCATGGGTGAACGCAAGGAGGGCAGTGCCATGTGGGGGCTCGACTGCATTGTATACTGAGCAAACATCGGTTTGCGTGTTCCCTGCCTGGCATCCTTCCAGGAGGCAAAACACTGGTGCACCAGAACTCAATTTTCAGTCTTCATAGATAGGTGGTTTCTAAGACAACTGGAAACACAATTCACTCAGAAGAGCTTAAACTGCAAACGGAGAGTGGAGGTGAAGGCTCACCCTAGTCAGTCACACGTTTCTCTTGTGAGCACCTCGTTTGTGTCAACTTCCAGCTGACCTGAGTGCTCACCCATGATCTGGAGAAAACAAGCTCTAGGGTGCACCATAAAGGCCATTTGTAAAGCCATGTTTTCTACAAAAGAGGACTCTACAGTTTGATGCACTTAGTTTAGAATCAGAAATTCTCCAGTTTTATACCTTGTGAATTCTGAAAAACACTAAATTTTCTACACCTTTAGTAGTTGTTTCTTTACTGTCAAGTGGTTTGAAAGGAAAGCAGACTGAGAAGTAAACTGAGTCAAAAATGCTGTTAACTGAGCTTTTACCATGACCTAATTTATTATGAGATGACAACATGGAAGTTCTAAGTTTGCACGTTAAAATGGGTCTTTCCAGCACTTCATCTGGGGAAACTTGGTTAAGAAACCTAAGAGCAGAATGCCAAGAGCTTCTGTGACCCAACTCTCGCTGTCTGTGCAGTCCTGTTTATTTCTGCAAAACAGGTGCTGGCTTCCTACCCAGCAAGTGGTTTCCAAACTGCTAGTCTAGGCAAATGACGAATACCTTGTTCCCCATCTGCTGCCATGCCCCTTGGTGACCAACTGCATCCCCATCGAGACTGGAGCCACTGTGTTTGGCTCTGCGTCTCTTCACCGGGATCATCTCCACTTGCGCTGTGCAAGAGGTGTGGTGCACCTAGTGAAAATTTGCTAAGTCAAAGGGAGGAGGAGTTGACTCAAGTAACACTAGTGGACATTCACTAGGTTTTCCATTATGAGAACATGAGTCATGAGGGCAAAGGGCAAAAATGAGGCTCTGACACACGAACTTGGTCCTCTGAATTCACTGTAGCATGCTCAGAGCTGCAGGAAGATGGTCTGAGAGAAGAGAAACGCCCGTATTTATGTGAACAGTAAAAAGCCCTAGGTACGTAATCTTGCCTGGCATTCATGCCGTGTCATGAAAGGCAGGCAGGCAGGCAGGTACAAATGACAGACTTATATTCCCTTCACTAATTGACTTATATGGAAACCCAGAGTCTTGTTTGGGCCTTATGTAATGTGGGTCTGTGGTCACAATAAAGTCACACTTAGAACAGACCAAATGAAACTCAACACGTATCTCATACTACGTATAAAACTAACTCAAAATGGATCACAGACATAAATGTAAAACCTAAAACTAGAAAACTTCTGAAATATAGGAGAAAACTATTTGTACTTTGGGTTAGACAAACATTTCTTAGATATGACACTAAAAGCATAATTTATAAAAGAACAAAGTGATAAACTGGACTTCATCAAAATTAGTAAGTCATGTTCCATGAAAGACATTATTAAGAAAATGAACAGAATGAGAGAAAATATTTGCAAATCACATAGTTGACAAAGAACCTGCATCTAGATTACAGGAAGAACCCTCCAAACAATAAGACGACAATCCAATTTAAAAAAGGACAGAAGATTTTAACAGATGTCTCACCATAGATAATACACGGGTGGCAAACAAATACAGAGATGC